TTTTTACCGTTTGGACAAGCCGTTCAATGGATCTCGGACGTTGTTTTTGCCTGTTTAAAAAATCTTGACGGACGTGAAGATAAAAGATATTTTTGGTTCAAAAAATTTAAAACTGAAAAGACTAAAAATAATTAGAGTCATGTTTTAAGCGCATCTGTTCAGATAAAAGTTAATTTAGTTAATGGCTGTTTTTTCTACATTCTCTGTCCTCCTACTTTAGACTTAAAAGCAATTCTTTTAACTGTTACACGAATTTGTGTACTTAAATAAAACGTTTCACGATTTTTATGCAGTAGCTTTCACGCTACAAGTTAGAATTATTGGCTATACTCAATTTTTCTATTATTTTGAACTTGAATCGTTTCAACTTCCGTTTTGTTTAGCGGACAAATGTTGTTAGAAAACTAATCATTCAAACAGAGTCTATTCTTTAATGTAAATACTTGTTAAAATGTTTATTTTTTAGTTACAAGAAATAGTGTTTATAGGAGGGATGTTTTTTATTAGAACAATTTTTGAAGTTCTTCTCCGAATTCGCCTTCCGACCTTATCTTTTATGCAATAAAAGTATCGAGTTTGAAAGCAGCGTCAAAAACTGAGTGAAATGATGCGCTTTTTTATCCTGTCAGATCATTTCTGTTTCTTTCGAATTTTAATGTAGAATAATCACTCAGATTTTCGCCAAAAAATGAAAATCAACGAAAATTTCGAAATATTCATCATCTGGCTAATATACATCGAATTACGATAAATATAGTTGACTTTTTCTTGAAAAAATATACAGCATGTGTTTCTGAAAGAATGTAATCGTGTTTATTGATGTGAGAATAGAAAATCCAAAAAGTACAAGTCACAAAAGATTTTATTATATGAAACTTATTCTAAAAGAGAGCAGAAATTTTTCAAGTTTACCTTACGAGGAAATCTTCCGAGATATGACATTCCGTTTCTGATGATTTATGTGCTGATCGATAGAGGAGCTAGTAAAAGCCCTAAAAAGATTTTGGCTCCTGATCTACTAGGGAAAACCCATGTGTTTTCCAAAGAGGCAAAGGTGGTAAGTAATAAACGAATGGGATTTTGATGGAACCAGAAGACAAACGGCATTGCATTTTGATAAATGTTTGCCTTTATATCGCCGTTTATTGCACAATACTTTTGTGTTTTCCTTTAAGGCCGTTCAGACTTATGATGGTATGTTGGTCAGTTATCCTGATTAACAGTATCATCAAAGAGATCGTTTTACCCCTTCCGCAGACTAGAGACCTCCCACCTAGAAAAGGTTTTTTATATTCTTTTTGTGTAGCTCTTCTCCCACGTCGTTAAAATCGCTTCATTCTGGACGATTACTTGCAATTAGCAATAAAATCGCAAATCAATCGCCATTTTGACTATAATCGTCCATAAATTGCGATATATTGCCGATTTTTTAACAAGTGGTGATTAATCGACCTGCATGCAAAATCGCCAATTGTTAAAAATCACCGATTTATCGCCATTCTTAAACGCATCGCAAATTAATTTTAATTACTTAATTTTAATTAATTAGCGATCCTAGTGATTTATTCTGTTTCTCTAATAATGGTCAATTAATTTTAATTAATTCTTGATTTTAAGCCATTAAATGCTTTTCTGTTATTCATCGTTTTATTCCGCAGTAGAGTAAGTATATAAGAAACACGATTTCAACGAGAAATGTTCTTCTGTTCAAATTATCTTTTTATTTTAGCTTAAAACGGAGTTTCCAAGAGCGTTCTCTGTAGTTTTCTCACAGCTGACTCATTGTTTCGATTTGAGTCAGATTTGAACCGAGGAGCCCAGTTAACTGTTAACCTAAAAACTCGTCGATTATTTGCTATAAATCAGTAAAATCGCCGATTTATTGACGATTAAGCGCACGATAAATCGACTGATTAATCGCTAAAAAGTCGTCGATTTACTGCCGGTTTTGAATACATGGGCTGGAATTGTAGAAATAACCTCGGAAAACAAAGACGCTGAAATAAGAAACAAATTTTGATTAAGCATATTTGAATACTCTCGTACCATTGAGTACGCATAAAGGAAAAAGTTTCAGGAGTCCAAATCCTTTTAGGGCTTTTACTAGCTCCTCTATCGATCGGCACACAGATCACTGGAAACGGAGTGCTACATCTGATGAGGTTCCCTTATTAGATTTTTTGAACTCTCCCTATTCTACTCTACGAAAACTGTGTTTCTTTCATTTGAATCATTCAGAATATAGACCAGAAAAAAGAAACGTTCAAACGATACAAACAGAAATAGCAATAATTTAGTTTAAGGTATCGGTCTGGAGTGTTACATGCGATAAAACTACAATGAAAATAGAAATAATTTAAAGTGTAAGTCGCAATCTTATGCAACTATTGCGACTGAAATGCCATTTTTTAGAAATTGAATGAACTCTCTCGGAAGAAAATGAAAATATTTTGTAAAAAGTATCGCTTTTCAAACAGGTTCTTTATATATATTTACAGGTTCAATCATACATTTACCCATTTACTAACGTGTTTTTCTTCTTTTGATAGATTGATTAGTTGGTTGATATTTGTAACAATTGTCATAATTGAATGACAAGAAAATAAATTTATTTTCAGAAGTCTAAAAACAGTCTTGCGTAAGGAAGAGAATTGTAAATGTTGAACAGTTTATAGTCGAGAATAAAAAATGCCGGAAATCGATCAAAACACAGAAATTGAGAACATTAAATATATTTTCTGCTATACTGACTATCCGTTGTCACTTGCCTGTTCGGACAAGGTCTGATCTCTGGAACCATAATTCTTGCCGGATTCAACAATATTGCTGTTTTGGCAAGATGGTAAACAACATTAAAAAGAGAAAAGATTGAAGTTTTAAATTTAACATACTCAATGTACGAGTAATAGAATAAACACATCCAGCCTATCAGAGCATTTATGATTCTGGAGAGCAGACCTTGTCCTACGAGAGAAATCGTCAAACGGCAATTATGTTCGACCAACGAGAAACATGTATAAGTTATTTCTAGGTGGCGAAAAAACTTCGATCTCTCAATTTTGCCATTCGTGGTATTCCTACGCGAGAATTATACTGTTTTCTGTGAGAATTATGCACGTTCTCGAAGATATTATGTTCTATCCAAGAGAATTTTGTATCTCTTCTTAACTTTTAATGAAACATATAAAAGAGCTGGCTCATGTGTAGCCGTTGTTTCAGTGTTTTGTTGGATTCGAATTTAATCCTGTACGTCACGTGTGTGCTGTGGGTTTCCTCATTGCTTCCGAGCAATGAGGAAGTTTGAGTTGTCGAAATAAAGAAGAACGATATAGTGGCTCGTGGAGAGAGCATAATATCTTCGAGATTGTGCGTAATTTTCACAGAAAACTCCACATCTCTCATGTAAATACATCATTCCCATGTTCTAGACAAAAGAGTTTATATAAAGAGATACATTTTTTCTTGTTATCCATTTTCAAATATCAATCAACCAATCAATCAATCAAAAGAAGAAGAGTATGTTAGTATAAAGTTAAATTTTGTTCATCAACAACAAAATATTTTTAATTAAGGGTATTTTGAGCAATTGTCGATGGCCTGATACTAATCACCAGTTATAAACTGTAGTGTATATGAAACGCAATTGGGAAGAGTTAGAGGCCCACTATTATCACTACTCCTTATCTTTTTGGAACAGGTGAGGTTAATAAGTAAGAACGTTAAATGACGCATAATAAATACTCATCAATTATCATTGTCTTTCTCACTGTGACTAAACTTGGTTGATCAGCTAGATCAAAGCATTCGTTACTGGAAGATGCATGGAAAATGCATCTTACGATCCATTAAAATCTATCATTTTATTTATAAACTATGATCCTATCTCAAAATATAACGCACCAATGACTATCTTCCATAAAGCATTTAACAAGTAAAACTACAGCTCATACAAAACAAACAACTTTAGAATTTGACATGTTTTTCCGACGAGAAACGCAGGCACAGACAAAAATCCGTGGCTTATATAGGCCTATATATATTAAATAGAAAATGAGAGATGATCATCGCCTGAGCATATGAACGAACCACTGAATGAACTTTTAAACACTAAGAGAGAGCGAATTACAACAGATATTTATTGCTGTGTTTGGGAAGAATGGAGCAACGTCAGATTGGACTCAAAAAGAGGGTAAATCTGCAGCAGCTGATGACATGCTTCACCATAAAGGTTACATGGTTCACTTTAATAAACCAATAATTAAAGACAGAAAATTTTTTGGGCAAGTAGAGAAATCAAAGAAATAGTCATTACGACGCGACATCCTCGTGCGGTATACAACACGGTTATTTATTTTAAATGTTAATATTTAAATGAACAGTTATCGAAACTGCTTTTTCTTCTTTTCATTTTTCAGTTTATATTTTCATAAGAGAGAGAAACAATGCAATAGATATCTATTGTAATTCTCTCTTTCGTAGTGTTTACAGGTTCATTCACTGATTCGTTCATAATGATCATCTCATTTTCTGTTTAATACATATACATACGTTCTTCCTCTTATCAACTTATATGGCTGATGATGACTCTAGTTTGAGTCAAAAGTCTTTTTTAAATCCAATCTCCAATCACAGAAAGAAAAAACACACGCGTACGTTTCTAATAGAATATAACGCTAGAAAATTGGTTGTAGAAAAAGATCAATTTCTTCTCGTGTACATGAGTTATAATTCTAGAATCTTCATTGAATCCTGTCGTGATGGATGCAATTCGTAATCGATATATGAGAGAGCAATCATAGAGAACAGAGCATCGACACTGGTAACAAACTTCAATCATCTTTTTCTCCGCTGATAATATTAACACATACTCTTTCGTACTTTTTCTTAGCATAATGAACTCTATCAATTGGCATAGGCTGGACAGATTGGTCTTGGTTGGAATATTTAAGAATTTTTCTTTGTATGTATGTTTTCGACTTATTACATCGACTTTAGACTACTCAGTAGAGACGTGCATAACGTTCGCAGAGGCTAGCATCGTCGAGTCCGCCGATAATTTTCAGTTCTTCGCGTTTCAAAGCGAAATAGGTTTCTGTTAGCGGCTTAGGCAACGTCTGTAGCAGCACGTCATCATTCGAAAGCATTTCTAGTGCGCAGCTGAGGTCCGATGGTAATGCGTTAATGTTACGGGTTTTCCGTTCGACGTCGCTCAATTCATGTGGGTCGATATCGGTCACCGCTTCCAGGGTTAATCCCTGCTCGATGCCGAGGCGTCCTGCGATGAGTATGGCGGCCATACTCAGATGCGGGCTGGCGGTGGCATCTAGGGGACGAAACTCCAAGTTATACTGGTCAGCCACGGATTTGTCGCCGAGAGCCACCGTGGGACAGATGCGCAGTGACGCTTCGCGATTGCGTAAACCAAGGCAGGCATAGGCTGCACTCCAGTGGTGCGGCTTGAGGCGCAGGTAGGACACTGGCGTTGGTGCAGTGAGCGCGCAGAGAGCCGGTAAGTGGCGCAGCACGCCGGCCGCCCAGCTTTCGCCCAGAGTGGATAGGTCATAGCGATGGCCATCGTGGTACAGCAATGGTCGCCCGTCGAGATCTTGTATACTCAGATGCAAATGGACACCATTGCTAACTGCATTCACTGCTGGCATTGGTGAAAAGCTGGCATGCAAACCTATCTGGCGGGCGATTTCGCGTGTGATCTCGCGTACATTAACGGCGCGGTCGGCAGCAGCGATGCCCTGAGTTGGCCGACACGTGACTTCGTACTGGCTCTGTCCAAATTCAGGTAGGAACATTTCTGGCTCGACGCCCGCAGCTTTAAGAGCAACCATGAGCCAACCAGCAAAATCGGCAGCCTGACGCTGGGCTCTGAGTGAAAATGCTGGTTGACAGCTGAGACTTTCCCGTCCGCTCAGAACGAATTCGTGTTCAAACGCGGCGGTGATTTGCAAGCCTAACGAGTTACGATAACGTTCGATTTCGTTCCGCAGAAGCGTGCGTGGACAGCAGTCCCAGGGTGCCCCATGGGTTTCGATCAGATCGCAGTGGATGAAATCCAATGCTGGTGCAGAAGGGTCCGGACCGTTGGTGACCTGTACTCGGCTGCTACGGTCTGGCAGCAGGCGCAAATCACCGTGAGCACCCCATGGGTTGGGGTTGGCGATTACATCCTGCGGTGTCAGTGCACTATTGGCAGGTACCCAGCCACAGCCGCTCGTCCAGTAATCGTCGAGATCTGTCGTCGGCAGGGAACGACCACGTGTAACGCTAGTCAGGTCGGTTGTCACCAGGGTAGTTAGTGCGGTAGGATGGAGGAGCGCTGAAACAGCTACCTCCAAACTCTTCGAATCAGCACAGCCAGTCACGCCAGAACCATGGTTGATGTCGATGTTATCCCTACAAACTATATGTGAGTGCACGTATAGAAATGCTAATAAAATAACGGACACAAAGTAACCAAGTTCGTCTGTCTTCTTACTTTCCTTTTTACTTCTTTTCTCTCTTTATCAGATGGTTTAAAAACCTTCTTTCAGGGGCGTGCTATGACTGAGGAAATACATTGACAAAAATTACCTATTTTCAGCAAGTTTTCCGAGAATATAATTTATTATTCAACATTCAGATTTCTGTTATCGCAGAAATTCTTGTTGCCCCGATTTTGTTGAAATTTTTACCAAATACAGAGAATCATATGTTATGTTGATCAAAAGCCGAAGAAGACGAAAACAAGTAAAATTTATAACAACGGCACAACATGCAAAATGTTGTACAACAAAACAATCCAAAATGATCGTAAACTTGGAACTTGACCTCGAAAGTAATTCGGATTTTGTCGAAAGCACTGTTGAAAAGTAAACGGTAGGCTTACCCTGTAGTTCTTTGATAAATTCATCGGTGGTCATAATACGGCAGTAACCACCAAATGCACGCAGTGCATTTTCGTGACGTTCTGGTGTGTGCGTGGTGCAGGCATCCGAAATGCATATGACCTGATTAGCGTTACACGTGGTCGTTCCCTGCCGACGACAGATCTCGACGATTACTGGACGAGCGGCTGTGGCTGG